AGAAGGTGAGACAGTTGCTAACATGTTTGCCAGTATCTTCGAAATACCCTTATAAGTTGTATTACAACATGATATCGGCCGAAAGTCTTTCATACGCTCTGCATTAAGGATCTTTGCCACAAGATTAAAGAGATTAGAATTCAAAATCTGGGGCATAACCCCAGTCCGAAAGAAGTCCAGAGTCGCATCCTCAACCAGATGACCAATAAGATTCCGATGAAGCAGATAAAACTCAGAAGGAAATCCGTCAAGACCTAGAGCTATACCTACCATCCTTCCTAAACACCTGCTGAATCTCCTCTCTGGTAATTGGAGTAACCAAAGAAAGAGCTTCCTCAGATGAAAGCTGCTTAAGTGATAATTGTTCATAAAAGCTACAAGGTTGCGTAATAACATCAGGATTTACCTCCGCAATTAACTGTCTATAGAAATCAACTACACCTCTTCCCATTTTCTTAACATCCTTTACCTCTTGCCCTCGGGAGTTAATTAAATGAGTAATCTGTTGTTGGTGAGTATGAATTTTGTAACATCTCGTTTCTGCAAAACTCATATTTCGATCGCTAGAAATTACGCGATTAAAATTGAGTGTTTAGATAGTATTTCGACGAAAATTGAAGTATCGATCGATCGGATTAGTATACTATCTACAAATATATATAGCTGGATATTGTAACTTCCACCCCCATTCAAATTTTCCTGCAACGAGAGTGAAAGTAGGAAGGATATTTTTGTCTTCGCAATGATCTATTTGTTTCTTGTTTATTCCTAAAATAAAAAAAGAAACACATACTAGGTTTTGAATCGTGGTCATTTTCAATAATGACAAGAATCTTAACCAATCAAACTACATAGATTAGTTGTATCATTTTAAATAAAAAAATATACATGAAGCTAAAATTAAATAATCACATAACTTTTCAACGGTTAGCTAAGGTCACTAAATCTTCGCTTGGTACTTATTGGTGTTTTGATACTTCGATTTTCATATTTAATTATTTTAATTATACTTTGATACTTAATTTAAATTTCTATTTATCTTATAAATAGAGTATAACTTTAAAATCATAAATAAAAAATCATTCATTCAATATTACATATCGAATTGTAGAGGCGATGTTGAACTCTTACATTAGTATTAGTTTATAGAACTACTATGAGATAATCATATTCATATCTTTCTGCAAACTATATGGGGACAGGTTCTTTGAACGTTTTAGCTCGGCTAACCATTAAGTTTCAAACATCTTCCTAATTCGGCAGGCATGATTGAATCCAACAATCATTAGACGAGGTTGAGTTTAATAGGTTGGTTTATTTCATCTTTTTATGTATTAAAATGAATTTTTAGAGCAAGGACATGTCTGCATACACACTCTACACAATATATACTACTAGCATGATAAAATTGCCGTCCAATTTCAAATTTCCTACAACGAGAGCAAAAGTATGAATGACATTTTTGTCTTCGCCCTTTTGGTCAATTCGAGTATGACTCTGCTGGTGGAACCAAATCTACCTAAACCTGAGTATCTCAACGGGTGGCGAAGGCCCAGTTGTTTGTCTACTTGGGCTCGGTCAAAGTCGAGTTTGTCTATCTCAGCGGGAAATCTGACCGATTTAACCAACTGATTCGAGCACCAGACCACTTAAAAATGATTTTGTTTTCAACAATTCGTATATGTAGCTACGTTGTCATATCATCCTTTTACTTATCACATAACCCTACAACATGAAACATCACAGATCATGTTCCACTATCCCATAATACAAGATCCAACCATCTCAAAAGCCATCATAATCCCGCAATAGTAAATTTCATTTTTCTCTAGCTGCACAATCATAGAGCCAGTCGACCTCATCTCATACAAATAAGAAGCAAAACTTATTATAGAAACATTCATTTGAGTTGAAACTTTGTGTGACGAATATATGCCAAATTCCTCATTTAAATTATTGTATAATACTTAATTAAATTCCTATATATCTTATAAGTAGAGGATAACTTTAAAATCGCATCCCAAACATCATTGGTTCCAATATTCAATATTGAATTGCAGTATTGAATATGTAAAAGTGATGTATAATTATTAAATTAGTATTAATTTTTAGACCTACTATGACACAATCGTATTCATATATTTGTGTAAACTATATGGGACTGGTTCTTTAAACATTTTAGTCCGGCTAACAGTCTAATTTTAAACCTCTTCCTATTCTGACATGATTGGATCCAACAATCATTAGGAGTTTAATAAGTTGGTTCATTTCACCTTTTTTTTAATGTGCTAATGAATTTGTAGGGAAATGGCATGTCATATACACTCTCACAATATATAATATTGAAATGAGAAAATTGTTGTCTCATTTCAAATTTACTACAACGAGAGTGAAAGTAGGAATGATATTTTTGCTTCACAATTATTTTACAGAAACTACAAACTTCCAAAAACCAGAAATTGTAGCTCATATTAAAAATCAGATCATCGTAAATCAAAGTTCACAAATTTTATTTCATATATCACTTATTTGAGAGATTTCTCTCTATAAACAAAGTAAATGACAATGACCCGCTTTTTCGTGGGAGAAAGGAATACATGCGGTGTCGTCAGAGATATGGAGAGCTGAACGAAAAGGATACAACACGAGTTCGTGAATGAGGATTGTGAAATAGATCATCGAATCACGGGCTTGGGGCTAAATAAAAGGACATGATGTTAGTTAGATGACTGATGACATATAATTTGCCAATTTTGTACATCTATAGGAGATTTCCCGTGTCGGCTTAGAAAATAAAAGGGTAGGAGGTTAGTTAGATGACTGATGACAACAAATTGAGTGCATGGGTAGGGGTGGGCATCGGTCGATTCGGTTCAAGACTGGATCAAACTATCCTCGTAACAGACCAAAATTTCTTCTAAATCAAGGACCAAAGCCGAATCGTTCTTACTTCGATTCAGTCCGGATCAAACCATAAATTACTCGATTCGGTCAATTTACATAATGGAGAAGGAGCCGAGTGGTGGAGTAGGTCAGATTACGGGTAGATCGACTTGGAGGATGATGTGGAGAATTGATTGATTCTGCAGAGCGCTGAGCTCTTCTTGTGGAGACGTGAACGAGACGGTGTTGGCTCTATCAATCCACATCATTTGATAATAGATCCATCATACGATCTCCCATTCGTCTTCATTAGAATCAGGTCATCTAGGGTTTGAAGTCGAGGAAACAACGAAGATAAAGGGAGAGAGAACATAGAGAGCTTTATATCTCTATTTTTGATTTTCTATATTCTCTCAAAATGGAAAATAGCAGGATCCATGCACTGGTTTTTCTTATAAGGAAACTTGAACCTATGTGGCATTGGAGCCTCCATCAGATTATTGCATTTAATGAAGCTTCAGATAGCTGTTGTTAAGCATGTATTGCTAAATTACCATTTTCTTGTAGTGTCCACTTTAGTGCCCCAAGCTTCTGATACCAAGTCACTATATGTAGGGTGGCTGGCCGCCTGGCCCAAAACCTGAAGTATTTAAACGGCTTTGGTAGGCTGTCCACTTGAGGAATCACATTCAGCAGCAGACCACAATGATCAGAAACTCAGGACAAGTTGTGGAAGCTGTACTAGTTGAGAAACCAGATAACCAGGCTTCATTGATGAAGATCCGGTCCAATCGCTTGGCAATGGGGTTCTTTTTATGCTTATTCGACCACGTAAACCAGGACCTCATGATCTTGTGATCTATCAACTTCATTGTATCAACCCAGGACTTAAAATCCACCATACTAGAAGACAGAGCAACTAAATTTGAAGTTTCTCCTTGATCCAAAACAACATTGAAATCACATAGTATAACCATAGGTGACACTCTCCTGATGAAGAATAAGATCCTTATAAAAATTAGACCTCTCGGCCTCCTTATTCGGACTCTAAACCACCATAAGAGTGAAAGGAGCAGGACCCCAAACCTTGCCTTTCAAAAAATGCTTCCCATCATCAACCTTAGTACCTTTTATACCATCCTTCCAGAGTAGCCAGATACGACCATTAGGGGACTTGGGGTAGTTATTCAAATGCTTCAAATGACTTTAATCTGTAGTAAGAATATTCACACTATTACTTTCTATTACTCTAGTCTCTATAATAGCAATAATATCTCGTTTCAAACGACAAAATTTCTTTAGCACTGCAGAGTGCTTCTCAGGGGCATTAAAACCCCTGATGTTCTAACATATGACCTTCATTTACCTCGCTTTCCCCGTCTACCCTTACCTTTAGCAAGAGCAGGAGGAGGGGGCAACAGCTCGCCTCAAGAAGGGTTGATTCAAAGAAGGAAAACTTTTTTCATCTAAGGGCATTTTACCAGATCCAGAATAACAATTCCACGGGCTCTTAGAGACAGATCCAGGGGCAACGGCTCTGACTCTGTTCTTTTTATTCGTAACCAATTGAAAACTATCATCAGCTCCAGCACTAATCGACTCACTAACAACTTTCTCCACAGATTTAGAAGCTAGCTCCTTCTCTAGCATAGATAAAGATTTAGCCTCAACCACAACAACACCCTGCTCTACCCCCATAGACCGCTTAGCCTAAAACTCATGTCTAGCCTGTAAATAGGCAAAAGAAACACAAACTAATAAAAAACAATACATGTATTGTGTATGCAAAATAGTAAAAATAATCGATGCACTCTAAACAAGACAAATATAGTAACAATCACAACTTTCAAATAACCCAATACATATATTAATATTACAAATGAGGTATATATAATGTGTACAAAGTTACGAATTGTGGCATAATGTTTATAAACAACAAGTTTACAAAAAAAAAATTAGTAAATACAATTTATTAGCTAATGGTTCGTTAACGTTTATAATTTTGTAACGGCGAGCCTCGTCCCCTTCCAAGGCAGATTCTAATTAAATTTTGAATTTCTATATATTTAAATATTTATTTATTTTTATTAATTGATAAATGTTCTTCCCACTAAACCCAGCTCCGGCCATAGAGAGGAGGGGACTGTTGGGATAACCTTAGCCCGAAGAGAATGACTCCACTCCCTGAGACCATCGCCCATCGTTCATACCTTCATCATGGTCTCTTCCTATCATTCATCTTGTCGTTGTTTCCTTTCTTTTGTCGTTTATCAATTCAATGGTCGGAAGAACATTTGGCTCCTGGTGAGAGAATAAGTGTGATGAGGACATCTACTCTATCAATCCAAGCATGAAGAATCCTTATGCATCAAGGATTGGAGGAAAGCTTGAAGGAAGATGGAGCAACCCAAATTTGAAGTCCATTTACAAGTAGCCAAGCCAAGAAGTTTCAATCTCAAACTCAAGCTTATTTTAGCGAGATGTTGAATTAGGGTGACATTGACTACAAGCACCAATTTTTCATTGTGGTAAAAGTAAAAGAAGTCATTCATGGACAAGACGAGCCCAAAGGTGTGTCCAAATTCGAGTCGAAACCGTTAAGGACATTCATACACCATACAAGCCCAAATGGGTGGAAAAATTTGGCCCAAAGGGGTGGACAAATTTGTCCAGAAAAAGATTCTTGATACCCAAGTAATCCATAATTGTATTCCAAGTCGTCCAAATGTCCAAAGGGAGAAGGAAAGAGATAACTTAGTTGCTAAAAAGCTTCCTTTAGCATTAAAATGAGTTTTATTCAGTATTTAATTAGTATCTTGTTTCTTACTTAGTAATGAACTTGTTTTCTAGTCCTAGTAGGTTAATTTTTGGTTTTTGTGACCTCTGTAAATAGAGGGTGTAAGACCTACGAGTTATAACAATTTACTGAATAGAATAAGCTTTTGCTTTTCAAATTCCTCTGAGTAATTTCAAACTTCTCTTTCTTATGCTTGAGAATTTTCATTAGAGCTAGAAGTCCCAATATCAATGGTTTCGTCATCCCTATCATGGTCCACACCCTTCGATCAAGTGCTTCCATTTAGTTAAATTACCGGTTTGGTTTTGTTTCCCATCATGTGCTTTCCGATTTCTAACGATTGTGTTGTGTACTTTGATTGTTGATTTTAAGACCTATTTATGGGGTAGGATCATATTAGTTGGTATCAGAGCATCACTTCAAAGCAGAGGCATACATATCCCTACCTTCTTGTCCGATCATCTTGTTACAAAGTGTTCTTCAAATCCGCCAAGAGGTATTTTAAGTTTTCAATATTGTTATTCAAAATTTTCAAATTTATATTGCTTGTAAAGTTGAATATGTTGGATAAATTCATTCAATAGTATATAAACACAAAAAAAAAATCGAAGGAGTCAAAAGAACACGACTCGCAAAAGGCAAAGAACGCAAGTCAAATCACTCACTCATTGTTTTAAGCAAATCTTTTTAAAGATTGAGTTTTGATGCTTGCATCTATTGCTTTGAATTGATCCTTAAATTTTCGTTTCTAGTATATTTAGTTGCTGTTTGTATTGAAATTTTGAAAATTCTTAGTTTAAAGAGTTGCAGCTCTAGGTTAGAATAGCCTTTGTTCCCAAAAACGTTTTCAGCATTGTTCTAGCATATCCAGTTGAATCTACTTGCATTTTAAGGTTTTCATTCATTCAAAATTGATTGAGTGTGAGAGAAGAGGCTTTGTGAGTTCAATAAAGGATAAAAGCAATAATTTTGAGTGCAAACACGAGTGGTAAAAAAGGAGTGACATCTATCGAGTGAAACACGTAAGGGAGTGCTTGTGAGGTTATTTACATGTCGTTTGCAACTTGGAATTGACGAAATAACCTTGTGTAAGAGTTTTTGTGGTGGATTTGATTATCATGGGTGGTGAAGGTAATCCACTGATGGTTGAATTAAGCAATGATACTCTTGATGTTCTCATGGATCAATTCTCTCAATTGTGACGAGGTGATCAAGCTAACATCAATGCACGCTTGGCCGTGGTGGACCAAGATAAACAAGAAAGTGTTAGGCAAGAGCAAGAGAGGGAGGATCAAGAAAGAGTTGAACAATAACATGTTGAGCAAGCTCGAGCACAACAAGAAGGACTTCTTTGAGAAATAAATCAGCAACATCAACCTCATTTTGGTGGAAGAATGTAGCGAAGAAACATAACTAATACACATATCACTTTACTGATCCAGCCTTCATGAAAACTGAGTTTTCCCATAACCTTATCTAGAAATCTCCATTCAAATATGTCATAAGCTTTCATCATATCTAACTTCGATGTAGAAAAAACTTTTCTTTCCTTTAGTCTTCTTCTTCATATAATGAGAACACTCAAAAGCACTACTTTATTGTCAAATATGAGTTGTCCCAAGACAAAAGCACTTTGCGTTTCATAAAAATGATCTCCCGGAATGTATTTGAGATGATTTGCCAGTACCTTTCACACTAGTTTATAGAGACCTCGACAAAGACTGATATGCCGTAATTTATTTGGTGGTGCTAGCTCCTTCACTTTAGGAATGAGAGTCAGAAGAGTATAGTTTATACATGAAGGAATGTAGCCTGAATTTTAAAAAACTAAGAACTACACTTTTGGAAATTGGTCCCAAATGTTTCCGATTTGTTCGATAGAAACCTGCGGAAAACCATTCGATCCCGGGGCCTTATGAGGTGCCATCTGTTTTAGAGCAGTATCCACTTCGCATTCTCTAAATGTAGCTATGCGAAAAGGGTTCATCTTAGATGCGACTGTTGGTTCTATTGCTTGAATGACCCTTTACGAGTTTTGATTGCATTCACTTGTAAAGAGCTTACCAAAGTACCTGTTAACACACTCCAACACCTCATTATGTCCTTGAGATATCTTTCCATTGAAGGATATCTTTTCATTCTCATCCTCCAACTCCAAAGTGTTGATGATATTTCTTTTTCGTCTACAAAAGCCTTCACATGAAAGAATCTCATATTTTTGTCTCCGGCTTTGAGTCATTCCAATCTTGATCTTTGTTTCCATAAGAGTTCATTCTTGTAAAGGAGATATGATTTTCTCTTATCCAGATTTATTCTTTGATCACTAATCATATCCGTATTCGGTTGAGATTAAATTTTGTGGAGCTTTTCTTTTATATTGTCCAACTTCCTGCGAAACCCCTGTACTTTTCTTTACTCCAACTAGATAGATACATCTCATATTTTTTATTCATATTTAAGATATCACTTTCACCTTCTTCGTTGTATATCTTACTAAGTCGTTCCATACATCAATGATCGTTAATCCAGAACTGCTCGGTTCTAAAACTTCATCTCTATTTAATTTCTTCATCCTCTTGTAACGTATCCATAAGTGTTGGTCGATGTTCATATATGCATATGTCGAGATGATATACCTCTAAACGTGAGAAATGGTTACGCAAATCTAGTTTTGCAACAAATTAAATCTGTCTAACCTTTTATCAATAAAGAGTCCATTGGATCTACTTCATCTGTCCAGAATATGCATAGGCCTCCTGCTCTGCCACATGATGGAAATCCATCTCCATTCTTAAAATTCAGTTCTCGTTGTACTTCCTCCTGTTCATCTTTTGAGAGTTTCGTCTCCATAAGGAAAATAACCTGTGGTTTTTATTCTTTCAACATATTTTGAGATCGGCAACAACCCAGTCAGCTCCCATACCTCTGCAGTTATAACTAATTATTCACATACTTAAAAAAACACACCAAACAAAAACATAAAAAGGTAGGGGGCAGCTGATACGAAAGCCGAAATGATGAAGATGGAAAGACGAAGAGCCCCAGCAAAAGGAAAAGTCAAAGTACTAGAGGATGTGATAAAATGATAGACAAAGTAGAGATAAGAGGAAACTTGCAGAGAAGAAGAGAAGTGCAAAAAAGAGGAAGGGAGAAAAGATCAGAGACGATCAAAGAGCCCTTAACTAGAGGGACAAATGAACAACCAGCTGAAAATCAGGGAAAAGAAAATGTCACTTATACGAGAGATGAAACTTTTTTTCTACAAAAAAATTGCATAATCTCCGGAATCTAATCAAATCTTATAAAATTCATTAAGTATACTATGAAAATAAATAAGTTTGTGCTTATCTAATAATATAGGAAGTTAGGAAGTGATGATAATTTTGTGATAAATTAAGACAAGGTTTAGTTGTTTTTTTAGGTCGAATTAATGAATGATGTGGATTCAAATAATAGCTTGAAATCAATTATAAAATGATTAATAGTGTGGTAAAATAAAATGATGTGATGCTCCTGATGGACTGAGGGTGTGTGGGGAATCCTGCAAAATGGAATTGGGAATAGGCGAAAACATGCATCATGTGTCTGTCGCTTCCTCTCCCTTCCTTCCTGAATTCAGTGTTTCGTTTATTTTGTCTCTTTTCCTCCATTCTTTTTTAAACATGATCCCCCTCCTCCCCTTCTGCATTCTTTTACACCACCCATCACTTCCCTTCCTCCTCCATTAGTCTAATCAACAACTAATCCCCCAAAAAAGGAGCTTCCCCCATTTGTCCCCTCCATCTCCCAAGTCCCACCACCATCATGATCCACCGGCGTACTCCCTTCCTCCTCCTTCTCCTCTACTCCTCCATATTCCCTATTTCCGCCGCCGACACCTCCAAACTCCCAGCACCCAACCCTCCCCCTTCAAACCGCTTCGGCGACATTGCTCTTACCGACTACCTATCCTCTCCCTCCAACTTCCCCGCTCTCCTCAACTCCGGCGACACCCCTGCCCTCCGCCCCAGCCTCGCCCTCATCGTCGGAATTTCCACCACCGTCTTATTCATCACATTCCTCCTCCTACTCTACGCTAAGCACTGCAAGCGTCCACCTAACACCATAAATGCCTCTAACAACCAAGCCAACGTCGACGCTGGAGGAGGTCTTGTCAGGAAAAACTCTGGTGTTGACAGGTCGGTCATCGAGTCTCTTCCTCTTTTCCACTTCAGCTCGCTCAGAGGGAACAAGGATGGGCTCGAATGCGCCGTTTGTCTCAGCCGGTTCAACAACACCGAGGTTCTCCGCCTCATCCCCAAATGTCGTCATGCATTCCACGCCGATTGCGTCGATACCTGGCTCGGCGTCCACTCCACCTGCCCTCTCTGCCGCCACCGCATCCACCCGGAAGATGTCCTCATCGCAATTGAAGACTGTGGTGATGATGATGAGTTGGAAGAGGGAGAACCCCCCATGGCACCTCACGAGGTCCGTAACAACGCTCTATCCGAGTCTCCCGGAACCCCAACAGGAGATGCTCTTGAAGAGCCTCGTCATCCAGATATGACCGACATTGAGATCGGGAGATGCGAATCCTCCTCCATTAATACTTCCGTCTCTGCCTCTGAGCAGGGCTCACGTCGACTCCCCGGTAGGCATTCGTCGGCAGGGGAGAGGCCGACGGGGACCAGGACCAGGTTTTTATCTCACGTGTTTTCTTCCAATAGGAAGGGTGCTTTCTCTCAGAGCTCGACTCCATCTATTAGGAATTCAATTACGGGTTTAGAGAAGAAGAAGCGAGGAAGTGCCTATTTAGGTGTCGTGGCTGTCGGTTGCTTTGACTGTTACCAACGGAAGGATGCGTTTCTCTTGACCCAACAGCAGCTAGGTGACAGATTGGGTTCACCATCCGGGTCAGTCTCAATAGCTGATAGGACCCGTTTGGAGCATCAGATAATCGTGTCAGATGGCCGAAAAATTCAAGCCCATAGGTGGAGCGACGTACATGCATCAGATCGTCTCTATCTCCGATCAGAAATGATCATTAGTTGCAGTCGTGAGGTACATTCAGAAAGAATACGGCGACCACAGCTGCCTCCGCGTCTTCCCCCACCATGGCGCCTTTCTACCGCATAAGTACAAAATTCTTAGGAGTACTGTTACTATAGATATCTAAGCTCCATACTGGTCTTTTGCGGCAAAAGAAGATTTTTGGGTCAATGAGGCAAAAGGAAAATGATGCTACCCTTTTTTCCAACTTTAATGATTGGCTTCTAGGTGTTCCTATTTTGAATTTTATGATGAAAGGATCACCTAAGGAAACTAATCCATCAACAGGCTTTCTTTGGAAGGGACTACTCTGAAGCCTAGAAATGGAGCCCTCGAAGAAATTTTGGACCTTTGGGAATCAAGGTGTTGTATTGAGTATGATTTGGGCTTAGCAACTATGTTTTTTTAGGAAGTGAAAATTTCCTTTGAAAAGATCTGAAGAGTTTCGTGTAGATGTACAAGTAGTAATTTGCAGGATTTTATGTAGAATGTACCATATGTTAGGAGGATTATGATGGGATTATGTTTCCATTTATTTGCCTTGATTGATTCCCTCTTGTTGAGAGGAATCTTTGACTCAATGAATTTGTGGTTTTGGTCCTTATTCTTGGTGTGTCTTTGGTACTATGTATGTCACAGATTAGGAATTTTGAGGCTCTATCTCTCTACATTCAGCAGCTAAATATATTAAGTGCTCATCCCTTTCAATTGGCTCTAACTAAGGACCGGTGGCTCTAGATCCTGAAAAACAAGGTTGGTTCCACATTCCTGCTTTTATTTTCTCGTTATCCCGATAGAGCTATAAGTAGGGCTAGGCACTTGCAGGTTAGGAAAATAACTTGATTTTTCAATGATTCATGTCATTATGGATTTTGAGGTTTGGATCTCTAGCTTGTTAGATTGCCCAACGAGGGGTTCCAACCAGAATTTACCCTTTGGAGAGATGAATTCATCTTCAAAGGATTGTTGATAGGTTTTTGGGAAACGCAATTAATAGGACAAACTCTATAAGGTAATGTGAATAGCATGAGCAGAGCTCATGTATCTATTGCTAGATCATCAATAGCTAAGAGAACAAACTTCTCATGACTACCATAAAGGTTGGGTGGCTTTTGATTGAACACATGCTCAACAGATCTTTTGGTTTCAAATGTCACACAATTCATAAAGTAATGCAGTGCAAGAATGACATCCTCCCCTGTGTGTAGCTTCTTATGTAATTGTCACTAAACTAACGATCAATTACTCTACTCGCTGCAAAGAAATAGTAGTATATTTGCTTAGAAGAGCCAAATTGTAACATCTGGTAGTGATTAGTTTATTAATGCAAAAAGCAAAAGGGCCCAAAGATAGGCTGTTTGCATTAGTAGTTGGGAGGGAGCCCTGGATCTAACGAAAAATCATTGTACATGCAAAGGTAGTAGTAGGGGGAAGAAAGGAAAGAACGTTGGTTGATTGAGGATATCATTAATTAAGATCACATGGTTCTGAAATTGAGTAAAGAGGAGCAGTAGGCCATACAAAAATTGCTTTTCTTGTAAATGTAGAAACATAGGCAGCAGGGTATCCACGTATATGCTGATCTCATTTACTGTTATTGCTGCTCTACCACCACTAAATCTGCAATTCTACATGCATATATCCCATTTACTCCTTGGAGCTCCCATCATTGCCCAATCTGTGTTCTGTTGTTGCATAATGCATCTATATATTCTGATTCCATCATCATAACCAACCATGCATGCATCATTTATCGGGTTGTCGTTGTCTAACAAGTTAAAATAAAGAGGAAGAGTGTGAAGGGAATGAGAGAGTGAAATAGAAAAAAATTGACAAGCATTTCTATTTAGGGATGGTGAATGGATGGATGTATTTTAACTTAGTCGACAGATGAATGGTGACCAGGCCAGATCGGGTGCACTATTGTTGGTGGTGGTGGAGCGATTGTGATTAAGATGGGTCGATGATGCAGGGTTTTGGTCTGGGAGGTTTTGTAGGCAGATTCATACACTTGTTGCCATCAGTTCGTTGTGCTACATACCACTACATTATATAGGAGGGATAAATAAAGGTACAAAATTTGGTCTGGTATTTGAGTTGAGAGTATGGTTTGGTTTATGTCAATTTAATATTATCATCACTTCAAGTAAACAATAGACAAAATCTAATTATATTTTCAATTTCTACAACGGATTGGTATATTCTAATATTGAATTGGATCAATTTTCTTCGGTAGTTGTTATTATATTATTAGCTTCTGCTTGATCAAATACCAAACAAGCTCATCGAAAACCAACACTATACATCGTGGCTACTATCTAACATTGTCTACTTTACGTATCAACTTTAATCCTGCACCACTGTCTACTTCCATAACAACCGCAACTTATACTACTTGCCTAATATCAGCAAAATTAGAATATGCTAACATAGCTTCAAAGTCTGCCCTACTCGAACATAATCTTGCTATATCCCATCTCACTTGAGCGAAAATGCTTTCAGCTCCTCCATTGTGCTCGAAACACTCTCTTGTACCTCTCCTTCCAAATTGTGGCAAGAAACCAACACCACAGGATTTTGTCTATTGAAATTTGTAGTCTGGCATCTTTAATCCCTTTCTCGGTCCATCTTGTCATCTTCTCCGACACCTCTCCTTCCAAATTGTGACAAGACCGAGAACCATTCCACCTTTCTCTTTAGGTCTTATATATTTCCATATCATAGTTGCAGAAAACTTTAGTAGAACTTTTCCCTCTCATGTTCCCTAAGAAGCAGACTCTGACATCAACCTAAACTAAAATCAGAATCTTACCCCCAACAGTTTCCTCCAAAGCCAAGACCCTACCTAATTTCCCATTAGTTCCCATATTGGTCTCTCCTTCAACCTATACTTGTGAATCCATGCCACCCAAAAAGAGCCATCTTTCACCAAAATGAACGAGATCATTATTGATGAACATGCTACATTCCATAAATCCAAGTATTTCAATCCACAAACTCCCTCTTTTATAGGTGAAGCCACCAGATCCCACCTAGCCTTTGCCTTGTCAGTATCTTCTCCATGCCACAAAAAATCAGAACAAATATTTTCAATATGCTTGATGACTACTTTTGGCGATAAAATGACAATCATCTTGTACTGCACAATCGAATACAGTACTGAAGAAATCAACGATAGCTTACCAACATAAGACATCTTAGAGACCTTCCATGATCTCAACTTCCTAGTTAGCCTATCCACCAACAAGCTACATTCTGCACTTGATAGCTTATTGAGTTGTAAACCAACCTTAAGTACTTAATTGTCAGTTTTCCTTTCCTAAATCCATACTTTGAAAGAGCAAGCTACCTAGCCTACTCGAGACACCCCCAAAGAAGACCTCACATTTCAATGGATTGCATTTTAGATCAAACATCTCATAGAATTGGTATAAGACTTTTCTCACACATTCCAAAACATAATTAGACCCCTTAGTAAAAATGAAAATGTCATTTGCAAACCACAAGTGTGCCAGACCAATTGTTTTACAATGAGGGTGATAAGATAAATACCTATTCTTTGCTACCTTGTCTAATAACTGTGTCAAAACCTCCATTACAATGATGAAAAGGTAAGGAAAAATGGGATCCCCTTATCTAACACCCTTCTTAGCACCAAAACATAAGAACAAACTACATTGAACAATGATGCTAAAACTGGTTGTTTGTACACATGCCTGAATCCATCTAATAAATTGCCTAGGAATTTTCACCACATCTAAAACACATAGAAGGAAACCCCAATGAACAAAATCAAAATCTCTCATGAGATCTACCTTTATTGCACTTCTAGAAGTAATCCCATTCCTATAATTGTTGGGAACCAATTCTGGAGCCATTAAGATATTATCAATCATACTCCTCTCCTTCACAAAGCATATTGATTCTTGCTTATAATGGTTGACATTACTTTCTGTAGCCTAAAAACCAAAGAATTTGAAAAGATCTTATACAATACATTTATACAAAAAATTGGTCTAAATGTAGTCATCTTTGCAGTTGCAGGGATCTTTGGACCCTAAGTAATGGTTTGCGTTAATACCTTTTGGAATGACAATGGTAACATCAATATCCTAGATGACCCTTGTTACCTCCCTTCCTATCACCTCCCAACTCTACCGAGAACAACTAACAGTCCACCCATTTGATGTTGCTGACTTATTGGGGGCCATGGAAAACAATAATTCCTTATTTCGAAAGACACGCTTTAACCATTCAGCCATGGATGCTTAGCAGGGATCCTCGTGCATGGTGAATAACCAAATTCCAATTGAATTGAAATCTTTAGAATAAATCAATGCAATTTAGGAGGAATCAATGAAAGGAAATCAATTCAAATCTTGGATTTTTGAATTGAGAGAGATCAAGAATTCTCACTATTTCTTAGATTCATTGACCCAATTCAATTTAGTGGGATCTTTCATTCACATTTTTTCCCATCAAGAACGTTTTATAAAACTCTTGGACTCCCGAATTTGGAGTAATCTTGCACTCAACATTTGTCCTTCCTCCACTAAAAGTCTCTTAGCCAGAAGAGTCATAAGTAGCTCAACATGAGGATAGGACAAACCTCTTTATCTTTTTGTGCCAAATTGATGCTCATAAAACTAGATAGCTTCCCTTGCAATCTCCTCTACATCTTGAATTTCCTCACCAAAATCCACACACAATTTTCCTCATCTACTTGCCATTATTATCTTGCTAACCGATGAAAATAAGAAGAACTTATATCCTCAATGCCAAGAATTTTTTTATATGGAATGTTTGGAATTAAATCTAAAAATTATCCAATCCGAAATTTGATAGAGTATCAACTTAGCATTATTATTTAGTTGAAGGTTGGTTCAATTTATTTTTACCACTACTCACTCACCCGTACTTTCGATTGATTAAATTTATCGATATTGACACGTTCCATCAACCAAACCTGCTTAGTGAGTCAGCATTAGTTAAGTCAACCAAACCACCCCTATTTTTTTATAATAAAAAAATTGTTTGGCAGAACCAAACCACCTTTACCTCCAAGTCTTTATGAAAAGCCCTTCAGT